TCACTTCAAGAAGACTTATCTATAAAGAGGTACCCATTTGTATTCTAGAGCTCAAGAGAGAATGCTTCACAAAGAACTACTTCTTTGTCAAGGTACTATGGTAGACTTACTCACAGGACGAAGCTACTTGGGAGCTAGAATTAGATTTTAAAGCCATGTATCCCAAGTTATTTGCTATAGTATAGAAATTTGGAGGACAAAATTTGTGTAAGAGGGGAAGAATTGTAGACCAAAAAAATTTATACATATATGGATGCTTTATGATTGATGAAGTTGATGGGTAAAATTTATTAAATTAATTTGAAATTTTGAAAATTTAATAAATTAAGAAAAAAAGACCATAGGGACTTAATTAAAAAGTTCCTGATAAATTTAAAGTTGTATAATCAACGACCATGATCTATTCCTCAAATTTTGACAGTTCGAATTTAATTAAAAAGGCTATAAATATAACTAAGGTTTTTTTGAAATTTTAGCAATAAAAAGAAAACCCTAAGAGACTTAAGACCCAACGGCCAAGGAAGGAAGGAAAGGGGGGGTAGTCGCGCGAGCTCACTTTAGGCAGTGTACTGACATTGATCCAAAGGTAAATTCTTTGCCTTAGATGACTTCTATAATTTTAATCTTAAACCCAAAGGTATTTTGGTGTCCTATGCTAAATGCTAAGGTAATGTAAAGTTTGTCAGCTTATTTTTTGCAGATAACTAATAAAAGAAAGATTCACTACACCACGACCGTCCTCATCCCAAAATCCAGGAAAAAGTAAGAGTAGTTTATTACTCTAAATCCCTAAGTTTGAAATAATGTAGTGATTTGATTTTTTTATTGATGAATATTATGGTATTGTGTAGAGATTAGTTATTTTAAGAATATTTGAGAATGAAGATATTAAGAAATTTTGAAAGCATTATGTGTATGATGGTGTAGTGTGATAACTTTGAAATCTGGTGAAACAAGGAGTGATTTAGGTTTCTTGGATGTCCCAGGCGTCGAGAGGAAGAAGATGAGTTTTTTTTTTTGGGGTGGGTAGTAAGTTGGGTTTACAACTTGTTAGGCTCGGATTTGGAAGCTCCAGCAATATGGGTCAGACCAAGCCCAGTAAGCCTCTAGGTTTGATTATTATTTTTTTGAGAAAAGGGTAGTTGTAATAGAAACTTAAATACTGATTCAATATATCTTAAATAGGCTAGGAAAGAAGAGGAAGAATTTGGAAAAATAAAAGAAAAGAAGGGAAATAAGAATGAAATGAGGTGTTACACATATTAAAATAAATTAAAACATAAATAAATCAGAAAAATTAAAAATATTACCAAATGGGCTAAGCCTTAGTGGGCTTCTGGTTTAGTTGGAAGGGTATTCAGTTATGATGATTAAGATGGGTTGGGGAGGAATATTTTATTGGACTTCTAGCCTAGAAAATAGATAAAGCAAGTTGAAGCTAATAATTATTTACACCCAAAGAAACATCCAAACAGATCACCTACTCATATTGTGAATGAACCGTAATGGGTTGTGTAAATAAAAATAAATATCAGGGACCAAAAGTCTTGAGAATTAGTTAAGTTAATTTAAGAAAGCTTTTATTAAATTCCTAAAATGGTAAGTACTATTTATATAGTAGTATTGATAGCAATAAAAGCTTTGACATTATTAAAAAAATAAAAAATTAATAAAAAAGGAAAGTGCATTATGAATTAGTTATAGAATGGGTATAAATAATTTAAGATTGATAGTGAATATTATCATGAGGAAATGTCGAAGTATGGACGAGTATGAATTAGGAAGTGAATAAATAATTTCGTGAAGTAAATAATTGAGTGTAATTATGTGATCAACATTTTTGGATATCCTTGACAAATTAAATTATCTTGAGAGAGAATGAGTTTGATGATTTGAAATGAATAAATTAGAAATTTGGAAATAAAGAAATAGATCTCTTATTATAATTAAATGAAATTAGTAAAGTAAGGAGTTTAATATTATAATTTATAATAAACTGTCTTAGAGAATACACAAGGTAAACAGTAAGGATTTCTTTTCGGGGTGATGTGAGTAAATGTGCAGTTCTAGATCGGTATGGACTAATCATGAACTCTATCTCATGGACTGCTTATTTCTCTGTAACTATGACTGTTACTAATATTATGTCCCTGGAGGACGATGTGAATTGTAACTATGACTATGCCCCTAGACGACGATATAAAATCGTAACTATGACCGTAACTATGACTTGTGGAAGCTATGATTTGGTCCTTGTTGATAGTGCGAATTATCATCTCCTTCTATGATTAGGACTGAACGATATTCATGATATGATAATGAGTCTATGTGCATATATGATTGGTTGTTTTGGTGAATGAAGAAAATATGTTGTTATGTGAATATCTACATGAGATAGGATATTCTATGTGCTTAAGGAAAGATGTTATTTGTGTGAATATGAGTGATACCTATTTTAGGAACGGTATTTTATGTGTGGATATATGTAATTAATATGAATACGATATTGCGTTTGTGAGATTGTGAATAAAACAAAAGTAATTTACGAGAATGCAGTTATGCAATAGTTGATACCACATGGATAATTTGAAATATATGGGAAGGAAAGATACTTTATGTGTGGATATGTCCAATCAAAGTGATTATAACTTTATGCAATTAAGATTGAGAAATTATGGATATCTTTTAAATGAAATGATGTATATGTAAGTCAAAAACATATGATTAGTAGGATCAATATAGTTGTAGTAGGATGTGGAAACTAGATGAATGTGAAGGGCATGGTAAGCTAGAGGTAAAGGTAATAGTTTAGATCAGTATATTATCTTTGATCTTTGGATTGGAGTCTTAAACTATTCTTACTGAGTAAATGATGGCTCACCCCTTTTTTTATAAATTTCATAACAATGAGTGCAGGACCAAGCTGAAGAACCGTCAAAACAAGAAGATCTTCCTTAAAAGGAACAAAAAATAGAGAGACACTTGTTTTTTCTATAAATTTGATCTTTCAGATTTAAAAAGCGCCATTTGATCTCTTAGCTTTCAAGTATAGTAGGAAAAATTTTTAAATACCCTACAATATGTTATAGTTGATGCATGTTGGAATTACTTGTCAGAATGACAATCCTTATAGAAAAATATGAATGTTATTACTTACTTCGATATGCACGAATGAAAAGTAACAGTCATATTATTTATGAAATTTTGGGTTGTTACAGTTAATGAAGATTCTAAATATCTTTTAACATCCTACGTCGTCTAATATAAAAAATATAAGTCTATAATGAAAACAGTTTAAACTTTAAACTAAAGGTTTATATGGTCACAGCATTTAGCACTTTTTGAATCTTTTAAATTATTATATACTTGTAAAAACTTAATATTAACTTAACTTATTACTGACCTTGTAAGTTTAATTAATGTGATTCATTTGTAAGTTTTTTGATTTAGCTTTAACTTATACTGACTTGTATGAAATTTTAAAAAATAATTATATATAAAAGAAATTATTCTACCACATGTTCTATTAGAGCTTAAAAATGAAAAATGCATCCTCCTTGGAAGCTTTTCTATTCAAGTAATCAATTTGTTCTTTCTTCCTCTTAGCTCACAGTCAACATTTTTTTCTTCACATCATGTTGTTTCTTCATTTTTACCTCAAGTTTTAGCCTTAAAACTAATTTTTAGCCTCACTTTTTTCCTCACATTATGTATAAATCGATATATATAAAAAAAATATATAAAAGATCTAGGTGGGATTGGTGGCATAAAGATGCAATTAACAAGTACATGTGTTATGAAAAAATAAACTATTACTAAGATACTAATTACTTTTATAATTTTGTGACTTAGTTTACTTATTTGAGTATCTGTCATTTGTCATACGACTTCTATATGTAAAAAGAATACCTAGAAGATCTCTTCTTTGTATAGAAGTAAAAAATTATTAAATTTTTTATTGGTCTCACGACTTTTATGGGTAAAAGGAATACTTACAAGACTTCCTATTTGTATAAAAGTACAAAATAAAATACAAGAGGCTTGTTATAAACCTAAACAAAAAATTAAGACTCATTGGCACAAAGTAGCAGTTCTATTGGGGCAAGTTCATTACCTATAATAGGTGTAAAAAGGACCGATACTTCTACCCCTGCACAAGTAGGGATTACAGACTTTACCTTGATGCTTTGGCTAATAAAAGGTGGAGGTGCCCTGATTGGCCTTGTGAGAGTTAAAGCTTTATCATTATTTTGGTTGTATATATATATATATATTGATGTGCAAATAGTCTACATGTTATGTAGAGTAATGTGTACATATGTGTTTCTAAAAGATAAACTATGCTGCTAATGAAGAAAGGGCAAGTCATAAAATTTGTAGAGGGTGTACAAGAGATCCAAAATGCAGAATGAAACTATTGTGTCTACTTTAGTTGCTACGAGTGTCACTTTAAAGACTGTCAGTACCACAGCTGCATTTATTATATGCAAAAAATAGCCCTAATCTCCCTTAATCATCATTCTAGCTTAATGATTACATGGAATAAAAGTTTTATCTTTCAAACTTTATGTCAACTATGAGTAAAATCCAGTGATCATGTTTTATGATTAACGGCTTGAGATTTATAACCACTTTTAATTGGAATCTGGATACATATGCCATCTTCCACCGCATAGTATACAAATCCCTATAGTGCTGGCGGCAGCATCTGCAAAGGCTATGGGCATAGAGGTGGTGGACAACAAGGTTCTCTAACTAGTCGTTGTTTGTTCAGGTTCTGTGGTGGCAATGCATTAGATGCTCTTATCAAAAGTGCTCGTTGTTGTATGATGGGTGATGATTAGATGTGAAAGTTTGTGTTTGAAATTTGAGTTTTGGAGAAGAGAAAAAGAAATCTTTGGAATTAATTAAAGGAGAACTAAAGGACAGTAAAGGATCTATATATATGTGTTTATGTATATTCTTTTTCTATTTCAAGAATTCTTTAACAGTAATGCTGCATATTGTTTAAGTAGGCATATTTATATTTATAAAATATATACATATAAAATATATTTAAAAGAAGTATGAGGTATTCTTGAATTTACTTTTTGATTTATCATAATCCTATTAATTGAAAAAAATTTACTAAAATCCTTAAATGAAATAAAGAATCTGATTTAATAGAAACTAGTGATATGCTATTGGCTTTCTTTTAAATATATGCAAATATTATTTCCTTAAAAATAATAGTTTAATAAAGAATTTGATGTTTTTCCTAATACTCTAAATACTTGGGTTTTAGAAAAATGAAATCATTAATTTTTTTGAGAGAAAAGATAAAATTATTAAATATATTGGTAGTAAGAAACCACCAAAAAATGGTACATTGTCAAAGATTGTCTCAACTTAAGAGATTAGTAAATTCTATATAAATGGTAAAACAAACAGAAGAAATGTTCTCAAAGTTCTATTGAAGTGACTATAAAGTCTTAACTATCACTAAAAACTCTCTGTTATATAGTATCTTATCACTCTTTAAAAATAAATTTTTCTTTTAATGGGACGACTAATATTGAAGTAATATATCTGATGTGAGTATGGACATGGACCATAAAGAGAAGGCCCAGTCCAAAGAAAAAGGAGGAAATAGGCCAAAAAGGAGATCTTATAGTCAGCCCTAAATTTTCATGTCTCCCCATTAATTTGACCACAATTCCTTTTAATTAAAGTGGAAGACTAAATTTATCTTAATTAAGAAATTAGCTTTTAAGTTTTAATTTATTTCCATATGTCTCCCCTTTTAATTTCGTCACAATCTCTTTTAATTAAAAGGGAAGACTAAATCTATCTTACTTAAGAAATTAGTCTTTAATTTTTAATTTTTAATTTATTTCCTATGTAATTGCAAATTAAATTAAGAGATATTATTTTCTTTTTTATTTACTTGGCTTAACCTATAAATAGACCACTAAGTCTTCATTGTAAGGGATTCAGAAATTATCTCAATAATATTAAGAGTGTTTCTTTTCAAGAGAGGTTTTTCTACCATCTTGTTGAGTAAAGGGGAGATCTACTTATCAAGGTACGATCTTGTGAAATTTTTTCCTTCTATTTCATTTCTAGTGACCTTAGTTCCTATCATTCTTGATAGCAAGTTAAATAGGAAGAATTTTTATAGGATCAATTCCTTTTGTGCCTTTAAATGAAATTGTGCGAGTTTCTAATCACGTTGGTTGATCTTGGGTTTCGCATCATTTGGTATCAGAGCTTTGGCCCCATCTAAACCTATTATCTTTTACTTTTGTACTTTTAAATTCTTGCAGTATTTATTTATTTTTTTTTTTGTTCATCTACTAAAAAAAAGATTATCTCATATATCACTACAAGCAAGATATAACGTCAATTGTCTCTTTCTTAGCTTGATAAAATCAATATTGAGTACCAATTATTTTTTTTTTAATCTATTTTTTTTGTAATGTTATTTTCTGTGCAAAAAAAAAGAAAAGAAGAGAAATAAAAAAAAGAAAAGAAAAAAAAGAGAAAAGAAAAGAAAAGAAAAGAGAAAATAAGGGAAACAAAGGAAAGAAATCCCATCGGGAAAGTACTTACCTTATTGGTACTTAACCATCCTTCTTTGAAACAGTGCAAGAACCACCTCTACATAAATTTTTTTACAACCACATGCATTCACACTTACATAATTCATTAAAGGCTACTTTTTTTTTTTTTTTATGTAGAATGTAACCTACATCAGGAATAGATTGGTAGGAATATTTTTTGGATTTTCCCTTGGGGCAATATCGAATCCCTCCATCTTTTATAAACTGTCAATTTTTTTTTACTCTCAATTTCTTTTATTGTTCTAAGTTTTAGTTCCCTGATATGTCTAAGCATCTAAATTGTATCTTAGAGCTTAGCTTAATTAATAACACACTACCTCTTTCTCTGTTTGTGACATTCTTGATTTTAGTATTGGTGTGGTATTTGTTCTATAGCACTCTTTGTGATATTTTAAAAAAAATATTTTAGACTACTTTGATTTAAGAGGATCTATCTAGCACTCAACTTGAAAGTGGGGAGATAGAAAGGTAAAAGGCAAGAGTGTTTGACAATATTAGAGGATAAAAGTTGAGTGAGTGAAATACGAGAAAACTAGTGAAAAAACTTTTTTTTACTAACTCTTTGCATGAATTTTCTTAAAATATCAAGTGACCATTAAAGCCCTG